TTAAAATTTAGGCCGTATAAAGTTTTCTTGTACGGTCCTAAAATTATTCCAAATTGCTCTTCCTAGTATTTAATATTTATTTTTATTTCTAATATTTTCTCTATTGTGCGTAGGATCTTAATGTAAGCCAATATCTTAAACAAAATAAATGACGGACATCATTTTGTACTGAAAAGTATCTCAATAGCCATCGAATCGTCAGGGCCTATATTATAGTAACTTGTATTCATCTAATTTTTTTTATAATGTCAAAAAGACAGAGAAGAAAATAGTATGATAAATGATACAGTTAGCAGTGAAAGCTATGGATACCGATAATATATCGTTACTGTTAAGTTACTGTTAAGCTAACATAAGTAAAACCGTCACCAACAAATTGTTTACGCGAAAATTTACGGGTCACCTACATCTGAATGACACGGTAGTCAACGTGTTAAAGCAAAATTAGGACATTTGCAATACATTAAATTTTTTATTATTAGTTTTATTATTTATCATTACTTTTTTATTGTTGTTATATTTTAATTTTCCGATTATATACAGAGAAGGGGTGGGGAAGGGGGATTCAAATAAAAACGGTAGATAAATTTTTAATAACTGTATATCAGATATAGATGCAAAAACATGTGTTTATTTTTCAACATAATCATTCCCGAGCTCAAAGCAACGGTTTTGTTTTAGCCAACAGTGAACTAAAGAGTGAATACTCTGTGCTTGCTTCAACATAACAACACACATCCTTATTCCGCTCATAGGATAGCACCTTTGAATTTTCACATTTTTCTCTCTTAGAGTTTTCAAAAATCATCTTAGTGGCACAAATAGCGTATTCGAGTGACCGGATTTTGATCCATTCCAGATCAATTAATCACTATTTTACTATAAATTCAAGTCTTTTATTGGCAATGACGTCATTAATCAATGTTGGATCGATCAAAATCCGTTCACTCAAAAACACTAAAAGTTTCGAGACAATAATGAAGTCAAAAAGGCGGTTTACACATCTGAAAGACTTTTTCACAGGCTATTCACAGTTTTAGTGCATTATTGGCGCAATTGATCTTGGAGGTGATTATATTGAAAAATAAATACATGTATTTGCATCTAATATACAGTTATTAAAAATTTATTTGCAGTTTTTGTTTGAACCTTCCTTATATATTATGCGAACTAGGATACTTACCGATGTCCATGCTGAGAAGATCACCTATCAGGGAGTCCTGAGCGGGTATAACTTGTGCGTGAGACTGTGTGGTTGCGCGATTAGAATCCTCGTTCGAATTGCTTCTAGCCGGCAATGATTTCCTGGTGCCTGCGGCTCTGCCCTCTACAAATGCTGTGGGAGGTTTATGGTACACGGACGCTAAACTCGAGATATGGCAAATCAATTCATCCAACAACGTCGGTTCTAATAGATCCGTCTCCTCCGAGATGAGAGGTTTCTCCGCGAGCACCACCTCCTTAGCTGCCGCTGGATCGGTGCTGAGTAATCGCCAGTAGATAAAGCCGCGATCTCGCAAATCGGGATTGTCGGAATCCTGTGTCGCTAAACTGAGCACTTGCTGAACCAATTCCTGCGTATCCGTAGGTCTCTTGAGGAACAGTTTCACGATCGCTGTGAGCAGTTGCAGTTGCACTTGCGTATTCTCATCATGGAATCCCTCAAGGAAGCTCTCCAGTAACTCATCCGCGTTGTCAATACGTTCCGCATATTCGCCAATAATCCAAATCATAGACGCACGGGCTTCAGGCTCGTCAAGCGTGTCCAGATTTTCGCACAGAGTTGAAATTATGCTCTCATACTTGTTAGGATACTTGCGGAAGATATCCTTTATCACTACAATCGCTTCTTGAACGACGTAGTTTACCTAAAAATCGAGAAATTAAAGTATGGATGACGAAGAATTTGAAAATAAGATTATAAAGATTATAAGAAGATAATCTTATAAAATTGATCATCACAAGCGCATTTGTGAAACTTGAAGAAACTTATTCCAAGACACTGTGTGGCATCTTTTTTATCTGATTACCTTAGTTTGAATCAGATCTAGCAACGTAGAGACGCAACGCTCCGCGGACGGCTCGACTTTTATGGCGCAGCGACCGATAGCCCTCACAGCCTTTCTCACAAAATCTACATCAACTTCGGTAGCGTATTCCTTCAGCTCAGACAAGACCTGCGCAATATTAGCTTGCGATGCTAAACGGATCATAATATCCAACTTCTCCAGTTTCACATATATCGGATCATTGTACTTGACAAAGAATACTTTCATCTCGTGTTTCAGAATATCGGGTCGCTTTTGCACGATGAGATTGATATTTCTCAATGCGACGTATTGAACCTCCGGTTCGGAGCTCAATAATGTGACCAGAGGCGGCGCCAATTTCTTCGTGAGCGTACCGACGAAATCTGACTCGGATTGCAGCATTTCCATGAGTTTCATCAATACCTAAAATCATATTGAAGCGCCAATCCGATATGAAATAATCCTTTCGCTTCTAAAATACTTGAAAGAATTCAAAAGAAGAAATTAGTATGGCTTTTTTTTAATTTTTAAATTCTGAATCAATATAATTGTTAAGAAAAACTTACGTTATTAAAGGATTCTTCATTTATTCATAATATACCTACTTTGACAGCGGAAAGCACGACTGCAGCGTTAGCGTGTGCCAGACGAGGAGTGATTCGTTCGCAAATACTTTGCGCCTCGCGATCGTCTTTGGGCGAATAATTCGCCAATGAATCCAGGATGAAAACCTGACCCCATTCCGTACATTCATTGAGCGCCGTCAGTAATTTGTTTATCGTCTGCGCGTTCATCTCCACCAACGGTTGACCATTCGGACTAGCTTCGTTGATCTCGGATAGTGCAGCCACCGCATTTGCGACCACCTAATAACAATCGTCGTACATACATATTATCGTACTATTCACAGCATTACCCTTTTCAGACAGCGGATAATTAGGTGATTTTAATCTTTAATCTCTGTTTAATAACAAATATAATTCTTTCTTACTATTTTTCAAATATAATAGAGTCTTAAGAGAGAGAAACGCCATTATTCGCTACTGTTCAGAATGTACCACGCTCCGAAAAGAAAGCTTATGTACCATCGGGTTGCTGTCGGACAGAAGATCTTTCAATTGGTCCAGAAATCCTTGGTCCTCGACTAAGGCTGCGTTAATGTCATAAAGTTTCGCGACGCACACGGCTGCGGTCTTGCGCACATATGGGTCCTCGTCCTTCAGGCACTTACGCAGCGGCTCGCATAGATACTCCGTTATCTTGTCGACGCGTATACAGCCCATCGTGCGAACTGCTAGCGCGCGAATCAGCGGGTTTGGGTCCTCGCAGTCCTGCGCAAAAATCGGGCAAGCCAGGGATTCAAGTCTAGTCACAGTAATGGCTATCTATCTCAACCCATGAACTTTAACAAAGTAGAAAGTAGCATTGGTACCTTTGTCATCGGAGATGTCGCTAGCTCCTTTTGCGTGTCAGAACGAAAAAGGTCAAATTGGTCACCGTCACCATTTTGCATTAAGTGTTAAATATTATACTTATCAGCCATTTAAAATAGTGTGTAATCGAGAACTGATCATTTTTTAAAGAGCACGAGGTATTTCATTCTTCGTAAGTTTTTTTTTTTCCTTTATTTTGTAACTGTTGCTGGTGTAACTTGTGAATAAAGGATCAAGATACGAGTGTTACATCGATATTAGCACCATGCAAATGAATAATAATTTGAATATATCCTCTATATTTACAAATATTTATATTATTTCATCATATCATATGAAGTATTATTTACAACACGGATTATACATTCATTAGGTACATCGAAATTTTGAGTAAAATACAAATTGCGTGCAAATTGGTAGATATGATCTTTATACAAGCACCAATTGGTAATGCAATCATACATATGAAATAAAATATTTGAGAAATCACAATTTTCATGCTGCTGCACATTAAAATTCATGAATAAGGAATTAACATTTGAATCTATATCATTCTTCAATTCAAAATGGTATTCGCAATTTAAAAATCGGTTTAATATATTTATATAGCTACGAAAAAATGTACAATTTGTTTCAAATGTTTCGGATATAGATTAACATTTACGTGATCTTTCAGAAGAAAAAGTTACATGCTGAAAGCGCGAAAAAACAAGATGTAGTAACAGTGCATTTAGCGTGAATAGCTAATATGAAAGTAACATATGTATGAGACTTTAAATTATCCATTTAATTTTGGTACGCGCTAATTATAAGTATACAGATCGATATAATAATGTAACTAACGAAAAGTACATTCTGGAATTTGGTTTCGTAATAATGTTCTAAGAAAGAGGAATAAAAAATGTCTCTGTGTCATATTGTCATACAATTCGATTCGTTCAGGAAATAATTCAGTAATTATGTTATTACATTATCAAAGCAATCAAAGTCCAGACTCGTGCCCTTTGAAAAATGTACAATTCAGTAATGAACGAAAAAATACATTCCGTCCCATAACGCAGACAGCTCTGTGCAAACTGTAATTTGCAAAACACAGTCTGTATACAATGCGAGGCACGCTGCAAAATGAATGAACAAGAATATCTAGTAAAGAAAGTATATTTACAACAACTACAAAATGAGATTGTTATCAGGACAATTTTTTTCAGCTTGCCTCTCTTTACAGGTAGACTCTGAATATCCAAGTATCATTAAGAAATATATATATATATATATATATTTTTTTTAAATTATATATATATATATGTATGAATGTATGTATGTTATATGTATATATGTATAGATATATGATGTATGTATGTATAGATGTATGATGTATGTATGTATAGATGTATGTATGTATGTATGTATGTATGTAATGGGTGGTGTGTGTGTGTGTGTGTGTGTGTGTGTAGTGTGTGTGTGTGTTGTGTTGTGTGTGTGTGTGTGTGTGTGTGTGTGTGTGTGTGTGTGTGTGTAGTGTGTTGAGTGTGTGTGTGTGTGTGTGTGTGTGTGTGTGTGTGTGTGTGTTGTGTGTTGTGTGTGTGTGTGTATGTGTGTATTTGGTGTGTAATGGTGTGAATTGTGTGTAATGGTGTTGGAAATTTGGTGTGGAATGTGTGTAATGTGTGTATGTGTGTATGTGTGTATGTGTGTAATGTGTGTAATGTGTGTAATGTGTGTATTATACGATGTGTGTATGTGTGTATGTGTGTATGTGTGTATGTGTGTATGTGTGTATGTGTGTATGTGTGTATGTGTGTATGTGTGTATGTGTGTATGTGTGTATGTGTGTATGTGTGTATGTGTGTATGTGTGTATGTGTGTATGTGTGTATGTGTGTATGTGTGTATGTGTGTATGTGTGTATGTGTGTATGTGTGTATGTGTGTATGTGTGTATGTGTGTATGTGTGTATGTGTGTATGTGTGTATGTGTGTATGTGTGTATGTGTGTATGTGTGTATGTGTGTATGTGTGTATGTGTGTATGTGTGTATGTATGTATGTGTGTATGTGTGTATGTATGTATGTATGTGTGTATGTGTGTATGTGTGTATGTGTGTATGTGTGTATGTGTGTATGTGTGTATGTGTGTATGTGTGTATGTATGTATGTATGTATGTATGTATGTGTGTATGTGTGTATGTGTGTATGTGTGTATGTGTGTATGTGTGTATGTGTGTATGTGTGTATGTGTGTATGCGTAATAACTTCGTAT